TGCCAAGTAAGGAAGCTGGTCTCAAAAGGTTACACACTGTGTGATCTCATTTACTCAACATTTTGTAAAATGCGACACTCTAGTGATAAAGATAGAGCAGATTAACCAGGGGGTAAGAGTGGGGGAGGGTGTGACCATAAAGGGAGAGTGTGACGGATTTTCTGTGTTGCTGGAACTGTTTGATTCCTGATGGTGGTGGTGAGTACACAGAAACCATCCAATCTGAGTAACACAGAAAGAAAAGGTTGGGGCTGGCCCCATGGCCAAGTGGTTAAGTTTACGAGTTCCGCTCTGGCGGCCCAGGGTTTTGCTGGTTTGGATCCTGGCCGCGGACCTAGTACTGCTCATCAGGCCATGCTGAGGCAGCATCCCACAGAGCAGAGCCAGAAGGACCCACAACTAGGATATACAACTATTTGCTGAGGGGCTTTGGGGAGAAGAAGGAGAAAAACCAAAAACAGAAAGAAAAGTTTAGAAAAAATGAATAGAGCCTCAGGGACCCATCAGACAACACTAAAAGGTTTTACATTCATGCCATCAGAAACCCAAGAGCAGAGGAGAAAAAGTGCTGAGCAAAAAACATATTTGAAGAAATAATGGCTGAAAATTTCCCAAATTTGGTAAAAAGACATAAGCTTACAAGCCCAGAGAGGATAAACAAAAAAATCCACGGCTAAAAACATCATAATCAAACTATCAATAATTAAAGAAAAAGAAAATATCCTGAAACCTGTTAGAGAAAAACAGATACATTTCCTATAGGGGAAGCAGGATTCAAAGACAGTGGATTTCTCCACAGACACCACAGAGGCCAGAGAGAAGTGAAACGACATTTTTAAAGTACGGAAAGAAAAGAACTGTCAACCCAGAACTTAATATCCAGTGAAAATATCCTTCAGGAGCAAAGACATAGCAATGACATTCTCAGATGAAAGAAAACGAAAAGGATTTGTCCAAGTGAACCTACTCAAGAAGACATGCTAAAGAAAGTTCTTCAGATGAGAAGGAAATGATACCAGAGGGAAACTTGGAATATCAGGAATGAAGAGTAAAATTAGTAAAAATCTACATAAATGTATGAGATTATTCTTCTTAAGTTCCTTCAAACACATAAAAAGGAAGAAAGTAAGAATTATAACATTATCCGATGAGGGTTTCAATGTAGGTAGAAACAATGCACATCAAAACCGTAACATGAGGACATGAGAGTAAAGGAATCTATTTAATAAAAGGTTCTATATGCCATTTAAAGTGGCAAAATATTAATTCTAGGTAGACTGTGATCCCTAGAACAACCAGTAATATATATAATTATAATACACGTATTTACATAACATGCAAGAGATATAGAAGAAAATCAAATTAAAATGGAATATTAAAAAATATTCAAATAATCCAGAAAAGGCATGAAGGAGAAAATATAAGAACAAAACAGAGAAAGAACAGAAATAACTACAAAGTGGGCAGACTTCAATCCAAACACATCAACAATTACATTAAATGTAAATGAATCATAGATCTAAATGTAAAAAGTAAAATTATAAAAATTTATAAAAAATTTGAGGACAGTTTTCATGACCTGAGGTTAGGCAAACAGTTCTCAGGCATCATACCAAAAACATGAGCTAAATATATACATAAAAGAAAGATAAACTGTCTTCTTGAAATAAAAACTTTTGCTCTTTCAAAGACACCGTTAAGAAAATGAAAAGACAAGCTACAGAATGGGAGAAAATATCTGGAAATCACACTTATGACAAAGGCCTTGGATACAGAATATATAAAGAACTCTCAAAACAACAGTAAGGAAACAATCCGATGAAGCAATGAATAAAAGAGTTGAACATAAACTTCAGCAAAGAGGATAAACAGATGGCAATCAAGCCAGCACCCAGCAACAAGCATCAACATCTGCTGCTGGGGAGTCAAGTGCATGGAGAAAGACGGCCCCTGGAGGTGCAGACCTGGAGGAACGCCTGAGAGCTGAGGGCGGAGCTGGAACACTGAGGAAACCAGCCAGCTCCCAAAACTCCACCTAAGCATGAGGAAGAACTGAACTTGAATTTGAATCCATCGCTGCAAGAAGCTGAAGCCTGTGGTGTCTAAGGTAATAAAAGCCACGAAAATCCCAAATCCAGCTCAACAGTTAAGTACCTTGAATTAACTCTCATGCTAACACTGATAAAAGAAATGTGCCCATTTCTGGGCATAAATACTCTTCACTTCAGTCTCTACTGTTTTTCCACAATGTCTATCATTCAATAAAAAGTTATGAGATAAAAACTCAAGAAAAAAAAGATCTGTTGTAAACTAATCAGCAGAATCAGACTCAAAGATGATTCAGGTCTTGGTACTATTGGGCAGGGACTTTAAAATAACTAAGATTAAAAGTCATAAACACAGAAACAAGTACAGTGGTTGCTAGGGGCTGCAGCGAGAGAGAAATGGGGAGTTGTTTAATGGGTAGAGTTTCAGTTTTACAAGATGAAAAGAGTTATGGAGATGGGTGGTGGTGATGGCAGTACAACAATATGTACACTTAAAACTGTATACTTAAAAATGGTTAAGAAGGTAAATTTTATGTTGTATATATTTTATTTACCACAACAAAAAAAACTGGGTGAACAAAAGATCTAGTACAAAGGAGTATGAAATAGTCTTGTATCCTGAAAGTGGTGGTGGTGGTTTCATGAAGCTACACAGGTGATAACATTGCATAGAACACGCATACACACACAAGTGCTTGTAAAACTAGGAAAATCTGAAAATGCCCTTTGGTTTTCACTAATGCCAATTTTCTAGTTTTGATAGTATACTATAATTATGCAAGATGTTACCACTGTCAGAGGCTAGATGAAGGGTGTATGGAAACTTCTTGTATATTGTTTTTTTTGCTGCTTCTTGTGAATCTATAATTTTTCAAAATTAAACGTTAAAAAATGTGTGTGTGTAGGAATTGATGTACTAAGATTGGCAAAATATTGATAATTGTTGAAGGTGCCTAATGGGCAGTTGTAGGTTAATTATACTATTATTTTTTTGCATATTTGAAATTTTTCATAATAAAACAATAAAGAAAAAAATATACGTTAAAAGATCTAGTGGAAAAGCTGGACAATATGGATGAACAAATGGGCAGCATTTGAACAATTTCAGCAGAGAGATAAATTAAGAATCAAATGAAAATGCTGGAAATAAAAAACATTACATTAGAGATGAAGAATTCCTCCAACGGGCTCATTGGCAAATTGGACTTCAGCTGAGGAAATGATCTGTGACCTTGAAGATAGGGTAATAGAAATTATCCAAACTGAAATGCAAAGAAAAAAAAAGTGAAAGAAATAGAACAGAGCATCCCAATGTGGAGAAAATATATCCAATGTTCTAACATACGTGTAATTAGAGCTGCAGAAGAACAGAGAACAGGACAGAAGAAGTATTTGAAAAGATATGGTTGGGAATTTTCACACAAATACACCCTAGAAATAGCACAGTCAAATTGTGGAAAAACAGAACAAAGAGAAATGTTTGAAGGCAGCCCAAAACACACACACCCACACCCACACACACAAAATAACAAGGATAGAAGACTTCTTTTCACAACCCATGCAATCCAGAAGACACTTTAAAGATATCTTCATGTCAAAGAAAAACTGTCAACACAGTTGCCAATGGTCCACAACACATTCCTGGTTTTCCTCCCACTTCTCAAAGTTTCTTTTATAATTCCTTTGGAGGATCCTCTCTTCTGTTCAGCCAGCACATTTTAGAATTCCTCAAGGTTCAGTTCCAGTCCCTTTCCTATTTTCACTCTATATTCTCTCCACAATCTCATTCCTGCTCAAGGCTGTAACTTTCACTCCCTGGCAGATAACTCCAGTGTTGTATCTCCTACCTACACCCCTCCTGAGCTGCCTACTTCATATTTTCAGTTCAGTGTTTCACAGGCACTCAAATTCAACATGTCCAAACTGAAGTCACAATCTCACCTGAGACGGCCCTCTTTCAACTTTCCCTATTTCAACAAATGCAATCATCATCTTCAAGGAGTCATCCCCATCAGCAACTCGTGACCCCCTATTCAACTACCAATGTGCCCATTCAATTGTGCTTCCTAAACATCCCCCAAATCCATCCAGCTCTCTTTCACAACTACCATTATTCTCATCCAAACTACAAACTTTTCTTGCCTGAACTTTTTTAATACACTAGTCACTGACTCTCCTGTATCCACTATTGCACCCCTTCAATCCCTTCTCCTTGCAGCATCCAGAATAATACTTTCTAGGATGTCACACTTGTGCCTTCCTTAGGCTCTGCTTAAAACCTTTCAACGGCCTCACATTGGTCTTAGGACTGTGACCAAACTGCTTATGCCAAACCACACATGGTGTGGCCCTTACACGCACACTTTGCTAGCCTCATCTTATACCACACTCCCCTGTCCTGCCCTCCTCCAGTCACTATGGCCTCCTGTCAGTTGCTGACAGATGCCATGCTCCCTCCTAGCAGTGCCTGTGCACAAGCTATTCTGTCTAGGACCTATTTGTTAGTCCACATCCACTCGTTTTTCGGATTTCAGCTCAAGTTTCAGGAGATCGTTCCATATTCCCCCAAGAGTCAGATCCCTGATGTATGCTTCAACAGCATATGTAACTCTTCTCTGTAGCATTTAACACAAACTCTATTTTAGATTATTTTTACGATTATTTAATATCTGACTTTTCCACTAGGCTATAAATCCCATGAAGATGAAAGATTATATCTGTTTTTGCTCACATTTTCATTTTAATGCCTAGCACATAGTGAATGTATAATAAATATTTATTGAAGAAAACAACAATAGAGATGAAGAATATAGGCTTAAATATAACCCATAATAATGGTGTTACGCTTTCAGAGATGTTTTGATATTTACTTACCAAGATAAAAGAAAAGGCAAATTTAAAACTGTAGAGTGAAACTAATCCCTAAAAGAATAAATTTTTAAAATATTTTACCTAGACACAAATTCACTTAATTCTGAATATTCGGTGGGCTCCATTATTATGTTGAGGTCAGTAATAACAGAAGATAAACTCTTCTTATTCTAAAATAAAGAAAACAAAATTTATGTATCAGAGCACAGTAAACTTTTAAACAGAAAGACAAAAATACTTTAAAAATATGCAAAATGAAATTCCACCAAGTAACATAAAAAGATAATCAAGAAAACGTACTGAAAATATCAGTTATTTGTTAAAAGAATAAAAGTAGATCCTTGCTACATACCAAAAATCTAAATGAACTCCAATAAATGAATTACTTACTTAAATGTAAACACTGAAACTATAAACTATAAAATATTAGGAGGAAATAGAAACATTTAAATGACTACTGAGTGAGGAAGAACTTTCTACACAAACAATAATAGAAAAAAATAAGTGAATACAATTACATAAAAAACTCAAAATACCTATATAAAAAATGACTTTATAACTAAAAGAGAAACAGTAAACTGAGGAAAATTTTTACCATAAACACGACAAAGAGATATGAAACCTGAAAAGAAAAAGGCAAAAGACATGAACTACAAACTGAATCAGGAAGAAATAGAGAATCTGAATAGACCAATCAGAAGTAAAGAAATAGAAACAGTAATCAAAAACCTCCCCAAAAATAAGAGTCCAGGACCAGACAGCTTCTCTGGAGAATTCTACCAAACATTCAAAGAAGATTTAATACCTATCCTTCTCAAACTATTCCAGAAAATAGAGGAAGATGGAGCACTCCCTAATACATTCTATGAAGCCAACATCACGCTGATCTCCAAACCCGACAAGGACAACACAAAGAAGGAAAACTGCAGTCCAACATCACTGATGAACATAGATGCAAAAATCCTCAACAAAATTTTGGCAAACCGAATACAGCAATACATCAAAAAGATTATACACCATGATCAAGTGGGATTTATACCAGGGACACAGGGATGGTTCAACATCTGCAAGTCAATCAACATGATTAACTACATTAACAAAATGAGAAACAAAAACCACATGATCAGGGGCTGGCCCCGTGGCCGAGTGGTTAAGTCCTCGCACTCCACTGCAGGCGGCCCAGTGTTTCGTTGGTTCGAATCCTGGGCGCGGACATGGGACTGCTCATCAAACCACGCTGAGGCAGCGTCCCACATGCCACAACTAGAAGGACCCACAATGAAGAATATACAACTATGCACCAGGGGGCTTTGGGGAGAAGAAGGAAAAAAATAAAATCTTTAAAAAGAAAACCACATGATCATCTCAATAGATGCAGAGAAAGCATTCGACAAGATCCAACACCCATTTATGATAAAAACCCTCAATAAAATAGGTATAGAAGGAAAGTACCTCAACATAATAAAGGTCATATATGACAAACCCACAGCCAACATCATACTCAACGGGCAAAAACTGAAACCCATCCCTCTCAGAACAGGAACAAGACAAGGGTGCCCACTTTCACCACTCTTACTCAACATAGTACTGGAGGTGTTGGCCAGAGCAATTCGGCAGGAAAAAGAAATAAAAGGAATCCAAATAGGCAATGAAGAAGTAAAACTCTCGCTGTTTGCAGACGACATGATCTTATATATAGAAAAGCCCAAAGAATCCATAGGAAAACTATTAGAAACAATCAACAGCTAAAGCAAAGTTGCAGGGTATAAAATCAACATACATAAATCAGTAGCATCTCTAAACACTAACAATGAACTAACAGAAAAAGAACTCAAGAACTCAATCCCATTCACAATCGCAACAAAAAGAATAAAATACCTTGGGATAAATTTAACCAAGGAAGTGAAAGATCTATACAATGAAAACTACAAGACTTTCTTGAAAGAAATTGATGACAACATAAAGAGATGGAAAGACATTCCATGCACATGGATTGGAAGAATAAACATAGTTAAAATGTCCATTCTACCTAAAGCAATCTACAGATTCAATGCTATCCCAATCAGAATCCCAATGACATTCTTTACAGAAATTGAACAAAGAATCCTAAAATTCATATGGGGCAACAAAAGACCCCGAATTGCTAAAGCAATCCTGAGAAAGAAGAACATAGCTGGAGGTATCACAATCCCTGACTTCAAAACATACTACAAAGCTACAGTAATCAAAACAGCATGGTACTGGTACAAAAACAGGTGCACAGATCAATGGAACAGAATTGAAAACCCAGAAATAAAACCACACATATATGGACAGCTAATCTTCAACAAAGGAGCTGAGGGCCTACAATGGAGAAAGGAAAGTCCCTTCAACAAATGGTGCTGGGAAAACTGGACACCCACATGTAAAAGAATGAAAATCGACCATTCTTTTTCACCATTCACAAAAATAAACTCAAAATGGATCAAAGACCTAAAGATTAGGCCTGAAACAATATGTCTTCTAGAAGAGAATATAGGCAGTATACTCTTCGACATCAGCTTCAAAAGAATCTTTTCGGACACCATAACCCCTCAGACGAGGGAAACAATAGAAAGAATAAATAAATGGGACTTCATCAGACTAAAGAGCTTCTTCAAGGCAAGGGAAAACAGGATTGAAACAGAAAAACAGCCCACTAACTGGGAAAAAATATTTACAAGTTATTTATCTGACAAAGGGTTAATCTCCATAATATATAAAGAACTCACACAGCTCAACAACAAAAAAATCAAACAACCTGATCACAAAATGAGCAGGAGACATGAACAGACATTTCTCCAAAGAAGATATACAGATGGCCAACAGACACATGAAAAGATGCTCATCATCACTAATCATCAGGGAAATGCAAATCAAAACTACACTAAGATATCACCTTACACCTGTTAGAAAGGCAAAAATATCCAAAACCAAGAGTGACAAATGTTGGAGAGGCTGTGGAGAAAAGGGAACCCTCATACACTGTTGGTGGGAATGCAAATTGGTGCAGCCACTATGAAAAACAGTATGCAGATTCCTGAAAAAGTTAAAAATAGAAATACCTTGTGACCCAGCCATCCCACTACTGAGTATCTATCCTAAGAACCTGAAATCAGCAATTCCAAAAGTCCCATGCACCCCTATGTTTATCGCAGCATTATTCACAATAGCCAAGTCACGGAACCAACCTAAGTGCCCAGTAACTGATGATTGGATAAAGAAGAGATGGTATATATATATACAATGGAATACTACTCAGCCATAAAAAAGGACAAAGTCATCCCATTCACAACAACATGGATAGACCTTGAGGGTATTATGTTGAGTGAAATAAGCCAGACAGAGAAAGATGAACTCTCTATGACTCCACTCATAGGTGGTAGTTAACATATAGACAAAGAGAACTGATCGGTGGTTACCAGGGCACTAGTGGTGAAGTGGTGTACCTACAACATGACTAATAATGATGTACAACTGTAATTTCACAAGGTTGTTAACTATCATAATCTTAATTTAAAAAAAAGACATGAACTTAAAAACTCAGAGGTAAAAGACAATGTGTATGGAAAAAAATGTTCGATCTCACTAGTAATAAGATAAATGTAAGGTTAAACAATGAGATGACATTTTAATCTAAGAAACCATTTGACAATGCCTAACTCAAAATATTCATAGTCTCTGTCTCAGCAATTTGACTTCTAAGAATTTATCCTAAAGTAATAAAAAATGAAGACAAAGACTTATGAATAAAGATATTCATTACAGTGCTACACATTACAAAAAGACAAAAACAATTCTATATTCAATAATGGGGATTGTTAAATAAACTGTTAAATATTTTGATCTGCAAATTCAGGTTTTCTCCTTTACGCTAGTAAATTTTCTTCTATGTTTGCCTATAATTTCTCTTCCACTTTTTTTCGATTCTTTTTTTTATGGAAAAATCATATATTGACTCTTCATTATCTTCCACATCTCTTTTCCTTCAAACACGCTAACAAGCGATTTCTCTCAAGCCCATCCTCCTAGTCTACTATTGGCTGCATCTAGTGTAGTTTTCAGCATTATAATCATTTTATTCTTCCTTCATTTCTCTCAGGTCTCTCCTTTTCTTATTCAATTTTCTTTAAATGCTTTCGAGAGTCAGAGCAGTTTTTATATAGCACGTTCTTGTATTTCCTGGATTAATTTTTCCAAAGTAAATTTATCTCCATTTTCTTACTAATTTCTTTCATGGCAGTACTTTGACATAGGCCCTAAATGATGATGAAAGAACTCTGCACTCTCCTTGTGCTTTTAACTCCATGGGTGGTATTTTTTTAAGAGGTACATCTAGCAGTTTTTGCTATTTCCTAAGGACAGAGTGAGTGGATACTTCTTGACTCTTCCCCATTTGTCTGGGCACCATCTGACTTGTCTCTTTGTATCTTGAGCTGCTGGAGAAATGGATATTGATGGTCTGTAATCTTTGTTTAGTTTTTCAGCTACTCGAGGATATAGCGGCAATTGTCAGGAACAGCTGCAGTTTAAGTAGGCTGTCTGTAGGCATCTATCACCATATCTAATCAGAAACAGAAACTACAGAAGCACTCTTACAACTCAATAATAAAAAGACAACCCAATTGAAAACCAGGCAAAGGATCTCAACAGACGTTTCTTTAGATGATATACAAGATGCTTAACGTCATTAGTTATCACCTGGTAGTTCCATTTGACCCAGTAATTCTACTCCTAGATATAAACCCAAGAAAAATGTACATGAATGTTTATAGCCACATTATTCATAACAGTCAAAATGTGAAAACAACATAAATGCCCATCAACTGAAGAATGAATGAACAAAATGTGATATATCCACACAACAGAATATTTTTCAGTCAAAAAAATATATATATATGAAGTAATAAGACACACTATAACATGAATGAACCTTGAAAACATTATGCTAAGTCAAAGAAGCCAGTCAAAAAGACCACATATTATATGATTCTATTTACAGAAAATGTCCAGAATAGGTAAATCCATACAGACAGAAGACAGATTAGCTCTTGCTTAGGTCTGGGCAGAAGGAAGGAGATTGAGAGGTGATAAAGAAGATGGGCTTTCTTTTTGAGGTGATAAAAACGTCCCAAGTTGATGTGGTGATCAT